AGAGAGAGAGAGAGAGAGAGAGAGAGAGAGAAAGAGAGGAGTTTACTTTGTAAACCATCCATTTCATACAAACTAATCATATTCATCCATTTTTGGATGAAAGACCAAAATTGAAACAAACTAAATAAGTAAAGTAAAAAAAGAATCAATATTGAAGATACAGAAGGGCAAAACGGGGAAAAACATATTCTATGAATATCTTTCATTACAACTGATATACATATGAACCTGATACGATCATATATGACCTATGAACATGTTTCATTACAGTTGTTCTACATATGAACATGTTTTATTACAAACTATTATACATGCCTATGAGTATAAATATGTTTCATTACAACTGATATACATATGAACTTGATGCAGTCATATATGACTCTGTTTCATTGAACAATTTGAGTCTATTTCATTGGAAATTACTTTGTTTCATTGAACAGTTTGAGCATGTTTTATCGGAAATTACCCTGTTTCATTGAACAATTTGAGTTTGTTTTATTGGAAATTAGTGGCCATTTTTTAAACAAAATAATTCTATATTTATTAAAATGTGGTGATTTTTTTCAAAAAATTTAGTAGATACCTCAATTATATCTTTGCTAATATTGTGCTAATCAATATATCATCCATATTTATATAAATATTATGTTGTTACCAAACTTATCTATTAATATTAAATAATTATCAAACATAACTATTGTAAATTTAAATGACCATAATACCCTTATAAGTTAAAAAAAAACAAATGAATTTATGTGATTTGTTGTAATTAGTTTGTAAGGTTTATACAAATTGGGGCGGTTTGTATTTGATTGCTCATCTCTTTCTCTCTCTTTCTATATATATGTGTAAATTGAGAATAATAGTTAACTGTGATATACTTAAAATTAAGCAATATGGATAAATTATATCAAATGATTTATGGTATAAATGAATTATAAGTAGAGAAAACAACATATTCAAGGGTAGAAAACTATTTTTAAGTATTAAAGTATCAATCTGACCAACTCATACGGTTTGGGTTGGGTTAGGTTAGGTTGCATTTATTGTCATAACCAGAAAGGTCAGAAATCCAAACTAGAACCTGAACTGAAAATTAAGTGTTTGTGCAAAATTCAAATGCTCGAAATCCGAAACCCGATTTTTGGGGAGATATTTGGGTTCGGGTAGAGTTTGATTTTTGGCCACCCAACCCATCCAAAAACCCGAAATATATATACATATATATTCTAAATATAATATAAATATATTTATTTTTATCTAATTATTTATTAGAAATCGTAAATCCTAATCGGTCGTGCTCTTTTCTAATTTCTAAACCTATTATCGATTTCATCTATTTCTCTCAATCGATTTCGAACTCATCCTCGAAAATTGATTGAATATATATATAATTATTTGCATTATAACTATATCCGAACACAACCAACCTCAAACCGACATAATTCGAAATCTGAAACCCAAAATTCTGGAATTCATTTCCATATTCGAAATCCGATCGGACTTTTGGTTTGTTCACCCGAACCCACCCGACGCGTTCGATGCACACCCTAGTTGCACTTTAGCACCCCTACTTCATACCTAATTTACATATTAAATTTAAGAGGATGATGGTTGAACGGTCTAATATACATATTAATACGGAACTTAATAATCATATTAAATTTAAGGAAACGAAGGGTATTTAGGTTCATCGAGTTGGGTTGAACTCAAATAACCATAAACTAAATCCAACTCAATTCCTATAGTTTAAAGATTTTACAACTCGATTAGACATCCGTAAGTTACAATTGAGTTTGTCAGATTGTTCAGGGTCTTATAAACCCCTACCCACAATCATTTCAATTTCATATCTTACTTTTACATAAGTAATTAAATTCTACTTCTCCGTAGATTCTAATGACGATGTATTCATTAGTCGTTACTGCTAACATGAATAGTTTTTATGATATGATTTTGATTGTTTTGAACTCTTTTTTCCCTAGGTTTTCAATTTCATTTATATATATATATATATATATATATATATGAGACTTTCATAATTAAATATAATGTTTTATAAATTAAAATTCATTAACCGAATTAAAATCAATAATAAGGTTTGGATAAATGAGAATCGACTACACAAACTAAAATCAACAAGTAGGGTTTGAGAAAATTACAGATCAACTAAACAATTAACAATAACATCAACAAGACAACAAGTACGGTTAAAACAATTAAAATTAACTAAAAAACCAACATCAAATTAGCAGCTTTAGAGCAAATTTATAATTTTGGGCAAATCTAAAATCAAATCAATTTAGGATAAATCTAGAATTTAGCTCAAAGAAAGCAGTTCAATAATGAAATTAAATCAATTTGAGGCAGATCTAGAATTTAGTGCAAAGAAGGCGAATCAATAATGAAATGAAATCAGTTTGGGGTAAATCTAGAATTTAGCGCAAAGAAGGCGAATCAATATGAAATGGAATCAGTTTGGGGTAAATCTAGAATTTAGCATAAAGAATGCGAATCAATATGAAATGAAATCAATTTCGAGTAAATCTAGAATTTAGTGCAGACAAGGCGAATCAAGAATGAAATCAAATCAATTTGGGGAAAATATAGAATTTGGTGCAAATAACGCAAATCAATAATGAAATAGAATCATTTAGGACAAATAAGTGAAATTGGTACCATTTTTGAGCAAGGGTTTCTGATTACAAACCTGAGAGTTGAGATTGAGTAACAGAGAGTCAGAGGCACAGAGCTATGAGAAAGACAAGTAGCGGTCTAGTAGAGGTGAGCCGAAGATGGCGAGCAGCGAGTTTCAAAGGGGCATTGAAGCCTTGTGTTTATTTTATTGAATTTGAAGTTTCACAATTGAATAATAACCCGTTCTTTTGTTACGTATTATAAAAAGTTCAGTTTAGTCCCTTCAACTTTAAGATGTTTCAAAACACCCTTTTATTTTTTTTTAAATTTCATAACGGGGATCCCCCTCCCCAAGTCCATTCTCTCTCTTCCCTTTCTCCCGCCTCCCTTTTCATATTACTTTCTTATCGGCCACAGCCACGTTCATCTCATCCGACCACCACCAGATCTCTAGCTTGCATGCTGATAACCAACAATCCCACCACGTCTTTGTGTCATGCGGTAACTACAACTTTGGTTGACCATTAGCAACCCCTGTTTCTTCCTCCCTTTATGTTTATAGTTGCTTAACTTCGTATACATGTTTATGAATTCATGAATTTAAAACTAAACTTAATAATCAAAACCAAACCTTAAATCAAACAAAATCAAACCCTAGCATAGTTTGATTGCGAAGAAGTAAGAGATCCGATGGGAGAGATGAGATATGATGAGACGTGCTCGGAGAATGGGGTGGGTTACAAGAAGTGGCAAGAAATGATGATCAAAGATGGATCAGTGATGCATTATTTTGTAGTACGCATGCCTAAAAAGCTTGAGTAAGTTAAAATTTATTTAGTAAAAAAATAAAGAAAATGCAAAAATAGGTAAAAGGATGAAAATAGGTCTTACTTAACAGACAGTTAACCGGGTTAATTAAAGGGACTTTTCAAAGCAAAAAGCAAATTATAGTGACCATTCTCATACTTATTGAAGCACATGGACTTTGTTTGTAGTTTTGTATAAATCATAGGGACCAAGATTGTAGTTTAGTCTAAAGCTTTACATAAAGTACTCCAGTTTTGGTTATTGAGGTTTATGGGGTGTTTGAGATTGCTTATTTGAAACAACTCATGTTTTTCTACAAAAGTGTTTATCAACTTATTATAAGTTAAAATGGTTTAACTTATGTTTCAAGCGGATATGCTGCACAAGTTTGGTTTGATTTGGTTTATCTTGAGATATAATCTAACGTAAATAGGAAATCGTGATCTCTGTACTAAACATATCTATTAGGGAAGAAGAGAAATGATTTCAAGGTAAAATGTTAACCGATGGATGCGTTTACCTATGGCCTTCTCTTCCCTTTGAGTTTTTAGCCACCGAGATGCTACTGTAAGGATGATTTATTGCAAGTTTAGTTCTAAAAATCACCTAAGAACTGATGCAATCACCAATGAAATTTTGTCTTTATTATCACTCGGTTCACACTCTTTCTACGTATTATCATTTCCATATTTAGGGGGTGTTTTGAATTGCTTATAAAAACAACTAATTGACTTATTCCGGTGTGACACCGGTAATAAGCACTTTTGAGTGTTTGGATAAACAACTTATACCGGTGTCAAACAGGTAATAAGAAGTTTTTGAAGAACTTAAACTCTTCTGACTTATAATAAGTTGATAAGTGCTTTTGTAGAAAAAACATCTCCTTAAACAAAAAAATACCGATTACATATTCATACTCCCACAATCATATAAATTACATTATTTTCGTCTAAATCTAAACACAAATTAACTAAAAAAGGTTTAAAAAAAATCATCAATTGGAATAACAAGACAAAATGTGATAAAAAAAAAGATTAAAAAGAAACAAAAAAGACACATAACTAAGCAACAAAACTAGTAAAAATATTACACCAAATGATATCTTGATAACACATGCAGATTTCCTTCCCCTTTGCATCTTCACTAATCACAATCCCAAGTCCATTTCAGCACAGTTATAGCCCAACCTGCATATTTTGTTCATAAGCGGACTAAGCCAGGGTAGCGTGGTTCGAACCCTTTGACCAATCATATGAGCCATGAACGTTGACGTTATGAGGACCAAAAACCTCCTGAAAATGTGTTATCGTTAACAAGCAACTGCAGCCTCTGGTTCTGGTTCTGGTTCAGCTTGTATGTCATCAATGGAGGGTGTGACCAAGGGACTCTTCTGGAACTCATTTCGTAGCTGCCCACAAGCCGCGCTTGCATCTAGACCTCGTGTCTGACGTACGCTAACCGTTATTTTACGCGACTCCAACATAGATTGAAATATATTGATCTGCCAAGTAATAAAATTCGAATTTAACTTACATAGCCACAAGTTGAACTAAAATATGGCAGAAAACAAGTTGGCATATAGTCTGAGGAATTTACTCATTATATGAACCCATTCGACACGTATATGTCCATCTCATTAAACCTACTTTGACTTTTTCAAAGGCTGTTGACCAACTCGGAACCATTTTCTAGATAATTAACTACAAAACTGAAACTCGTTCCTTTTCTAAATATTAGAAAGGAAAAACTTTGCAGTATGCAACAACAAAAAGAGTAGGAAGAGTAAAGCATACCGCTTTCCTGTAAGGACGCTTATACTCTGTGCCATCTATCGGATTGAATGGGATCAGGTTCACATGATATCCAGGTCCCCATTGATGAAGTAATTCAGCAAGTTCCTTTGCGTGCTCCACATCATCATTTACTCCGGCTGTCAAAATATGTTCACTTATTTTGTCTTAAAAATGCTTTTTCTTGGGGGGTGGGGACGGGGATAACGTGCAAGAACATAAATGAATGCGAAAAGAAATCGCGTACCTAAGAGTGTATATTCAAAGGATACCCGTCTACTAGTTTCATGAAAATAGTCCCTGCAGTCCTTCATTATTGCCTCCAGAGGGTACGCCTTGGCACTTGGCACAATCTTTTCCCTCAGTTTCTGATTAGGAGCATGAAGGCTGAAGAGCATGAACATAAAACAATGAACGAGGCCAGAGGCACATATTGACTCCTAATTCAAATTGCTAACTTATCCAATTCGAACATGATGTGGATTTCGTTACAAGTCTAACACCAACATTTTCAAATTGCAGTATTTCTTGAAAATTATGGACCTCTTTATGTTAAAAAGCAGTTTGTTTGAACTTAAAAGTCAGAACATCCCTTGTTGGAAGAAATGAGTTTATGTTGCATACCTAAGAGCCAATGTAGATTGAAGTTTGTGGGAAGCCAGCTTCTTGATAGTGTTTGGAACTCCAACAGTGGAAATGGTCATCATCCTTTGTCCTATTTGCACATCCTTGAATCCAAAATACAACACAAGTTGGTAATACGATTGTTTAAAAGGTAATTATGAATTTGTAGGCCAACATCTTTATCATGTGTAAACAAATATTCACAGTTGTTATATAGTATGTTGTCCTACCTAGTCCATGTAGGAACTGTATATCCCTACAGAAAAGCTCTGTACTAACTATCACTGAAAGATGACTCAAAGGTCAACTTAAATTTACCACACTTGGGGGTGCGTTTGGTACACAGATAGGACTGGAATGAACGGGGAGAGAGTGAGGTTCAGGGTTTATAAAGAATAATGGAAGGTTTTAGGGTTTTAACTTGACATGGGTAGTTTAATAATTTACCAATCTTGTCTAATCTCCCTGATTCTTGTTGTTCCACCTATTTTGATGGCATTTTTTGTCCACACCGAACACAGTACAAGAAGATTTTTGTTTTGTCATGTCCCGTCCTATCCCACGTACCAAAGGCACCCTTGATAAACTCAAACTAAAACGTACAAGTGCTTCGTGTTTATCAAGATAATATTAGCAATACTTCGATCTCTTTTACATAATATTTCATAATAAGTTCGATGTCTAGAGGAATATGAGTTTGATATAGAATAGAACCAAACCCCCTAAACTATTTGGCATCTTTTCTCCTGGTATTTAACAAAATTCCAATAAATTTTACAAATTAGAAGGCAAAGAGATGAATTAGTTATATGGTTAAAACACAGACAAGAATCAATAAACCATACAAGAACAGCCATGCATACAAAAGACCCTTTTCATGAAAAGCTTTTATAAGAAAAGGGGAAGAAGAAAAATGTGAACATTGAGTGATTGGACTGTATTTAAATTGAACCTTGTTCAAGCACCGGTGAGCAGCAAGAACTTCTTTCAAGTTCAACATCGGCTCACCCATCCCCATGAATACCACATTTGTAACCCGATTGTTGAAGACCTCCTCTATTGCTAACACCTACCAATACAACAATAAATCAGTATACAATATGATGGAAATGCAGCAACCGTTTCAATATGTTTCTTCAAGAAATCAGTACCCTTGTCATGCAAACGCATCACTTGGATAAAGAACTGGATATCTACAACCACATTACTGGTCTACTATCCTTTTTGTGAACCCATAGCGGTTCAAGGACGAACCAAAGATCATAAACATGGAAAAATGCCCGGTAAACATAACGGATCTCTTAAGGTGTGTTTGGTATGCGGACTAGACTGGAATGGATGAATGAGAGAAAGGTAGGAGGGTGAAAAAATTGTGGAAGGCTTAAGTGTTTTAATTTGACATGGGTAGTTTAGTATTTTACCAATCTTTTCCCATGTTACGGATTTTTTATCCATCTACTTTGGTGGGACATTTCCCCGCTTGATCCTATCTTGTCCCAGTCTAATGCCACGTTAAACATAGAACAAGTTTTTGTGTTGTCATGTCCTCCAGGGTACCAAATGCACCCTATTGTCATTGAAAGTTCATGACTTTCAATTCTACTTATTCGAATCAGTAAGAGTTCAAGTACGAACACGGTTTGATTTAGCATAAAAGATATGTTAGGTAAACCTGTTCCACAATCTCATGCCCCTTAAGGTTCCTGGAGAAGCCTCCCTTGCCAGTAGCACAAAATGAGCAGCGTAAGGGGCAGCCCACCTGAGTAATCAACAATAAAGAGTATTGTGACAGCTGCAGAATAAGAATAACAAAATAATATCCCCTAAACTAACAAGAACTATAACATTGGAACTGGGTTATCTTCTTGCAGAAAGATCACCTGTGATGAAACACAAGCTGTAAGACGAACTGAACCTTTATCGTCTGCTACTGGTATGCCAACAGTTTCCACCAGTCGGTTATCTTCCAATTTTATCAGCAACTGAAATGTAAATGGAACACAGAAGATCATGAATAGGGTCCTTGCAAGTTTCAACAAACAACAATCCAATCCAATGACTATTTGGTTCAAGATTTTATACAAGAATTACTCTATATTTGAAATCTAGGAAAAGGGGAATGCAAACATTATCCTTTTTTATCTTTGAATAACAAGGTATCCGACTATCAGCCTTTCTGTTCAGCAAGTTCATGGTGTTCATACAAAGTGTCCAAACTATAATTCAAACATAATTTTACTGAATATGATTTAAAGAATGTGAAGATCATTAACCTTGATAGTGCCATCAGCTGCAACCACAGAACTATGCACAGATGACCTTCCAACCACCCAACCAGCTTCTTGGAGTTCGGTTCTGAATGCCAGAGGCACTTTTGCACAAACAATCAAGCATCACATTCAAAACCACCACCATTAATTTACAAACACCATGCTTAAAGATTTCTTACAATTTGTTATAACATAGTGAATTGTTATGAAAAAATTGTTCACAATTGCATAAAGTTATCAATTAGTAATTCCAAATATATAAGAATTTTACTCAAATCTCATTATGTAATCCCAATTTTATTTCAGAAAATGGCACTCACCCTGACTGAATTCTTGAATTTCCTTGACCCTTCGCTTGTAGAGAAGATGATGCAATTGCTTGCCTCTATAACTTTGCTAAACAAAAAGAAATTCCCAAATTATTATCGAAACAAAAATCCTGTAAATACCCCTAATTCTTCGTATAAAACCAATCAAATTAGAGGGGGTTTGAACTAATATTACCTGGCCGAAGTCAAGAGCTAGCTGTTGAAGCTGTTCCTCCGACATGCCAAGAAGCACGTTGGAGTCTGGTGGCGACATCTTTGTCTTGGTAGTGGTGGTGGTGGTAGTGGAGGCGACAGTGACGACGGTGCGGGAGAAGGAGATGATGAGGGAACGTGACTTTACAGCACGTGCGAGTGGCGTTACGGAGCACATGAACTGTAGCAAAGCCATTGATAAACCTTCGCCAAACTCAAAACCTCTGGCTATGTCTGCGATAACGAACCTTGATATTTCAAGCGATGTCCAAACGGCGTCGTTTTATAATGTAGAATCCGAGTAACAATTCTTTTTTTCATTTTAATCTGTTAGGGTTCCCTCCGATATTTTGAGAATAAAATTATTAAATTACACAAAATATTTGTCAAAGTGTTTCCTTAGTTGCCGTTACCAAATGTTTACTTAGGTAAGTATTTATCAAGTCAATATGACAAAGACTAAGAATCTTATACGGTAAGAACGAAGGCAAGAATCAAGTCTTACCCGAAGACGAGGACTCTTACCATAGTTAGCGCTTACTGGATTAAATTGTTGCATACCATGCGTTTTAGTAAATAAAATTTTACCTGATAATTAAACGATAGTATTGAAATTTACCGATAAGTACTTACCGGATAAGTGTTTAGGTAAACGGCCTCTTAGTATAATAAGTAATATTTTCTTAAATCAAGTTAACAAAAATTTCTACTTTCAGATATTCCGGTCAATAGTTTACTAGTAATTTTGTAGCATTATTTAACGATATATTCTATAATTTTTTTTAAAATAAGTATTTATCTGGTTAACGTTACAAAAATTAAAATTGACATACAATATAAAATTTTAATAATTTCGTTATATCAATTCTAATTACACTAAAATTTATTACAATTTATGGGTTTTTATAGTTTTAAATTAAAAAAATTCAAGTTAAAACTCAGTCATTAGAGTAGTGATGGCCAAACCGGCTTGGGACTGGTAATGACCGATTATTGATTTGGGGTATTTCCTGGGACCGGGACCGGTTATGGCCCGGCCCGGCCCGATTTTTAAAAAATGTAGCTATTTTTTTAAGGGAAAAGTCTAAAAAAACTCAATGGACTTTAGTGTTTTGAATGATTAAATCATTGGACAATTTTTTGGAACAAATAAGTCATTGGACATTCCAAAACATGTTAAATAACTCTTTGGACAATTTTTTGGAACAAATAAGTCCTTGGACAATTTAAAACATGTTAAATAACTCATTGGACAATTTTTTGGAACAAATAAGTTATTGGACAATTTAAAACATGTTAAATAACTCATTGGACAATTTTTTGGAACAAATAAGTCATTGGACAATCCAAAACATGTTAAATAACTCCTTGGACTTTTCTAAAATATATTAGATACATTCTTATGACTTGTACAACTAGTTAACGTGGTAAAATAGTGGAAAAAGTCCGAAAAAAACCCAATGAACATTCATATTTTATACGATTAAGTCCCTAAACATTTTTTGAACCAAAAAGTATTTAGATCTATAAAATTAAACAAATATAACAAAAAATACTTACATTTATAAAAAAAAATTACATTTAAAAAAGATTTTTGATAAAATTTATTTTTATTAAAATTAAAATATATTTAGTCAGTGATTTTTCAAACTAAAAAAAATTATAAAAAATTAAAGAATTATTGATAAAATTAATTTTAATTAAAAATAAAATATATATGATTTTTTAAATTAAAAAAAATAAAAAAAAGTTTAAAAATAATTACTGATGAAATTTATTTTAATTAAAAATAAAAATATATTATTTTTAATTAAAATAGATTTCACCAATAATTTTTTTAAATTTTTTTTAATTTAAAAATTTACATACATGATATATTTTATTTTTAATTAAAATAAATTTAAGAATAATTTTTTAAATTTTTTTTGTTTTTTTTAAATCACTGACAGAATATTTAATTTTAATTAAAATAAATTTTATCAAAAATCTTTTTTAAATGTAATTATTTTTTTATAAATGTAAGTACCTTTTTGTTATATTTGTTTAATTTTATAAATCTAAATACTTTTTGGTTCAAAAAATATTTGGGGACTTAATCGTTTAAAATATGAATGTTCATTGGGGTTTTTTTTGGACTTTTTTTTCACTATTTTACCACTTTAACTAGTTGTACAAGTTATAATAATGTATGCAACATGTTTTAGAAAAGTCCAAGGAGTTATTTAACATGTTTTGGATTGTCCAATGACTTATTTGTTCCAAAAATTGTTCAATAAGTTATTTAACATGTTTTAAATTGTCCAATGACTTATTTGTTTCAAAAAATTGTCCAATGAGTTATTTAACATGTTTTGGAATGTCCAAGAACTTATTTGTTCCAAAAAATTGTCCAAGTACTTAATCATTCCAAACACTAAAGTCCGTTGGGTTTTTTTAGACTTTTCCCTTTTTTTAAATGTAGCCGTTTTTTTTTCTCCCTTTTTTTGTATTTTTTGTTTTCTAAACACCATATAGAAGTGTCTTGGTTGAGGGATTTACATACCAAGTTCTCGATTCGTAAAAAACGCAAAAAAACCTTCACAATTATCGATTTCTCGCAATATTTTGTAAGACAATGTAATTTTAATTACAATAAAACACATTTTTAAAGTGTATTTGAGTGACCCAATTACAAATTTTATAATGTATTAAAAATATATATCATTAAAAAAATAAAATAAAATTTTTCTAATAACCAGGACCGGCCGCCCATAATCGGTTACAATAAAGCTTGACCGGGCTCAACTTCTTCTATCGGGACCGGTTACACCGGGGATTGGTTATGACCGGTTATGAGAAATCTTGGAACCGGTTGGGCCCGAGACCGGTTTTTGGACATCGCTACGTTTTTTTTGCACATATATTTAGTTTTTTTGGTTTAGTTACCAGCTACTTATCAACTCTGTTAAATTTCAATTCGAAATATTCCAACACTATATGATTTAAAATCATTCTACATTTTTCGTAAATCCCCTAGCATTAAATAAATAAGAACCAGAATCACATATGATATGAATATCATCGAACATCAATGGCCCAAATTCGAATGCATGTATTCGAGTCAAACTCAAAACTGTACACCGATATCATCCCCACCTTTGGACCATTTGTTTCTTCTCTTTCAAATCTATTACCATCCCATGGACAAATTTACCATCTCTTTCTTTCACACCCCACCACTAGAAGAAGCCAACGGCCTCGGATACGAAACCACTTTGTTGTCATTCTCGTTGTCTTTGTCTTTCTGAACGGACTCCGTTCTAAGACTTTCTGAGGCTTTCTGCAACTCTTGAAGCTGTTCCAATGCTTTTACGACCTCATCAGCAGTCGGTCTGTGCGGGGGTTCTTTCATCAGACACTTCATTGCAAGTATGGCTGCTCGGGTTGCAGCAGCAGAAGAGTATTGGCCTTCGATACGTGGGTCCATGATGTGGAGGATCTTACGTTTGCTGGTCAAGTAAGGTTTAGCAAACACAACTAGTATTTGCTCACCAGATGGACGGTTCTTGTCGATGCTTCGTCTCCCTGTCAAGAGCTCAAGGAGAACCACCCCAAAACTGTATATGTCGCTTCTTGCAGTCAAGTGACCTTCATAACAATATCACAGGATTAGATGGGATTACAATGAGGTAACTTCATATTTTATCGATCAAATAAACCATACAAACCCAATAAATCCTGCATAGCGTAGGGTTCGTGGAGGGTAAGATGTATGCAAATCTTTCCTCTAGCCCAACGGGCAAGATGAAGCCCAAACATGACAAATCCCTAACAAAGGGGTCAACTAGAACCACCTATGATGCTAAAGTGCTAGAGTCACTCAACCGTGCACCTAGTGGGCATCAAGTGGAACCATAGGCAGTTCAGTTCAATGTATAAAAATAATTAATTTTAGAATATGCAATCATACAAGAACTAAAATGTTGATCTCATATCATACAAGTACTTGCTTCTTTATGAAAAGGGTCCGGAAACTTCCTCCAAGTTGAGAGAAGTGGATTGATTAACGAAAGTTTAGAAACGTTTAGATCTCTATTTAACTTCTTTGAAACGCTTAATATATTGATTAGTTGCTAATTGAATTAACAGTGGATAATTAACTCTAAAGCAACCAATTAAGTGGCCTTAACTAATTGAAGCAGTGAGAGGGCGCTTAACGCCTAGGCGACAGCTGAAGCAGTCCTATTTTAGAAACTTTGTAGCAATATACAAATAGTATTACTTGTGCCATGTTTGGCAACCATAAGCTAGCTTATTTTTTGAGTTTATTGGAAAAAAACCCGTTTGATTAAACCATAAGCTAGCTTTTCGAAAAACTACTTCAGATAACTTATCGAGTTTTTTTAGCCAACAGCTGGTTTGCCAAACATAGCCGTAGTTTGGGAATCCTTGTGTATGCAAGTTGAAAGGTAGCAGGAGAAGGCAAATCAAGCAGAAAATTAGCTCCCATAAATTTGATCCAGAATAGCTCCCAATGTGCAATGGTCACTCGCAAAATAGGGGGTGTTTGGTTGGAGGTATTAGGCAGTAATCAATGAGAATGAAAATAAAATAAACTGTTTGGTATTATATAATATAATGGGCTCATTCCCCCAGAAGTCCAAATTTTTATTCCAGATTAAACTGGGGGAATGGAAATTCATTCCTGTTTTCATTCCCTGTCATTTCCATTTTCATGCCAGTATGAACCAAACAGCCCTTAACATTGTTCAAGAAGATTTACCTGTGGCCATGTATTCAGGAGCTGCATAGCCATGGGTACCCATAACCCTTGTAGACACATGGCTTTTACCATCGACCGGCCCATCCTTCGCCAACCCAAAATCAGAAAGTTTTGCATTATAGTTCTGGAAGCAAATAAAGGATAAATTTGTAAGAGGCCTGAAGAAAGAACTAAGCAAAATAAAAACTATCAAGAATAATCATTCATTTGAGACATACTGAATCGATCAATATATTGGAGGACTTAAAATCACGATATATCACTTTAGCTTCAGGACTATGTAAGTATGCAAGTCCCTTTGCAGCACCAAGAGCAACTTTTATACGTAGGTTCCAAGAAAGAGGTTGAAAGTAAGAACTTCCTGTAACAAGGATTATGTAGGCTGGTGATTAGTAGATAGAAATAAATACAAGATCCAATTATGGAAGTTGAGGTAGATAAACTTCATAAATGAGGTACAATCACAAGAACTCACTCCTGAAAAGATGGTTTTCCAAGCTGCCTCGAGGCATGAACTCGTACACTAGGAGTCTGTGGTCATCCTCTAGGCAATAACCGATTAACTTTACAAGATTTTGATGATATAGCTGCCCTAAATAATTTATCTCTGCCTGCAATAATAGCAATAGAAAACCAGCTTATTGAAAGTACTTATTGCATGGTTCAAACTGCATACCAAAGAGTAAAGATGGTTCTAATTTGATGTATCAACTAAAGAAGATACAAAGATTCATACTTACCAACCATTCTTGATGACCTTGAATGCCTTCATGGTTTAACCTCTTTACAGCAATGACAGTGCCAGTACCCGGCTTGGCAGCTGCAAGTGATTGTTCATCGATCCACCCTTTGAAAACTGAACCAAAGCCACCTTCTCCCAACACACTATCAGGACGGAAATTCCTGGTAGCTGTTTTAAGTACATTAAAACTAAAGGACTTCAAATTTGCTGACTGCTGCAAAATCTGAGCCTGGCTCCTAGGGCTCCGAGGGCTGGGGGGTACCGAAGCAGATGTAACCTTACCTGTTAAAAGATATTGAAAGACCCTGTTACCACTATATGTCTAATATCTTGCATCAATGTGATGGTGCCCAAAAATCTTGATCACATTGTCACAAGCATACATAAAGGTTTGACTTTGTAAAGTACTTGTGTGTGTTGTCATGCTATATGTGGGAACTCTAATTCATGAGGTTGGAACTGGAACTCTAACAATGTCAGTTCAATATTTGAAGTACATGAGTGTTGATTCCATTTCCAAGTCCAAAATCTAGAATGGATCGCTTAACATAAACTGCATAAGCATATACACCAGCAAAAGTTTAAAATCTTGACACCAAATTGAACTTTGGATATCAAACACTTAGGCGTGAGAAGGTGTTATATACAGTAAAAAAATTAGCAAAAGATTCATAGAGAAAACCATAGGTTTGCTTCTTTAATATGACTATAGCAATCTACATAAAAGAACAATCATTTCCGTGACAGGGGATTAATTTGGAAAAATTCCAATCTTTCTCTCAACAAATTTTAACTTAATCATGCATAACCTATAAACGTATGGAGGCAGAAAGCAAATTTGTATGCACATGCGATCAGGGGTATAATCCTTTACCATACAAACGAAATCCCCTCTAAAGCAACATAAAACAGAATTACCAGTGGGTATCTGAAGAAAGATCTATTAGACAAAATTACAAAAAACCATCTCAGGTAATTAATCATAGAGCATGTGTTGAATCCAGATGAAGGGAGTAGAAAAGCATCGGAAAATTTCAAGAAAGTTGAAAGAACAAAAAGGCCTCCCAGGTTCAACTTTCAACTTTCATCCTTTTGTCAATAAGAAAAAGCAGTTACAGTAGCAATCAAGATCACGGGTAAATGATACGATATACTCACCATCAAGACGAGAACTTTCAATTTTCAATCGAACACTGAAACAAGAACCCATTTTGTAACAAATCTCTGACGTTCTCGCTCTTCTTCTTTTTCCTTTTGATTTTAATCACGCTCCTTTTGCAATTTCGCCGGCAAAAGACCAGATAGAGAGACGATGATGAGGAAACTAGGGAAAAATCTCACAGGGGAATTAAGACAAACAGTTGGAAGGTGTGAACACAAACGCACACCAGCTGCGTGTTTCAAAGGCACACATTAAGATACTAATATATGTGTTGAATATTTTAGTTTTCAAGAACCCTTCCAGAACAAATCCAAAGACAAAAAAGTTGACCCATCTTCCATTAATTCTTGAATGCAAGTTGCTTGCCCCGTGTAATTTCTGTAATTTTATAAAGAAAATTGTTCAACTGTTTCGATACAAAAGGAGGGGGAGTGTGATTAATGGTGGGGGTTGAGGAATCCAGTGAAGATTTTTAAATAAACGAATCTGAAGAACAGGAACATGACAGAGCAGCGCTTTGCTAAATTCTCGCAAGATATCATCGTGTTGAATACTGTTGTCCGAGTTTGACTGGTTTTGTCCTACTACTTTTTTCCAATTTTCTTACAATTACAATTACGACCCCTAAACTATTCTTTATTTGTAAAATTCACCCTCGTTAATTACCATAAGAATCAAGAATTTTACTCGGTAAGAAGCTTAACAAGGACGAATAGTTTTACCCGATAAACACTTAACCGGTTTAAGACGTTCATCAACAATCCATTTTGATAGCTGAGATTGTTACACGATAAGCTAAGTACGGGTGACGTTTCTTGCCGATAAGTACCTACCCAATAAGTATTGAACAAACGAACCCAAATCGTCACTATAGTTACTTTATAGTTATCTATCATTTTTACTTAATTAATGTCTAGAGTGATTATTTTCTTATATACAACTTTGGAAGATGATATATATCCACCCAAATTGCACATTACTTGAACCTACATACACTAGGACAAAACATTAATTGAATGTTAACATGACATAACACAAATCAAGTATGTCACGGTGTAAAATGAAGATGGGTGTCGATTGCTAAAAGAACGTGGTCATTAGTATAAAAACTAGGACTAATCTGGACCCAATAGACCTAACAGACCCTTGCATCGAACTCAATTTTGTTTTGTTTTTTAAGAAGTCCACTGTTGCATAAGCAAGTCCAAACAATTAGGATTTGACCGTCCAAATATTAAAACCTTAACTTGTTTTCGGGAGTAGTCCCAAGTTTAAAATCATTAAGCTTTGTTAGTTTTTTTCATTTTCAACTCTTAACTATTATTTATGTTTGATTCGTTCACACGTTTTGTAATTCAGACTGTTTTTTATTTATTTATTATTTAGAGCCTCTTATTACGTAATAGGTTCTGAATAAATAAAAGGTAAACTAATATCTTAATTCCTTTTATTTACTCGTTTCTTTGATTCTATTTGGCTATTGTTTCTTTCTCTACCATGGACGCCACTGTCTTTTCACACTCATGTGAAATGTACGTCCCCACATTCTCTCTCTCTAGATCTCTTTTCTCTCTCTATATGTGTGTGTGATACGGGCCACTCAGCTACACAAACCCAACCACATGATGCCCAACAGGCTTCGAGGCCCAAACGCTTTGTCAAAAAGCCCAACCGGTACCTTGACTAGAATGGTTCAAACAAGCTACCAACTCTTCACCACTTTTCTTTTATTGTCGCATGCACATGCTAATAATTAGGAAGCACTACCAGTAGTTTTCCCATGTT